TTTTTTTTTTTTTTTTTTTAGGAGCAGAAATAAATTTTTTTGATTATCACTAAGCAAACAAAAATGTATGCGGCTTCAAACAAAAAAAAAAAAAAAACGAGTAGCACCGACTTTGACACAATGTTATCACTTACATCCCGTCCCTTTTGGCTCTTTTTTTTTTTCCGCCTTCTCTGAACATTCCACAAACAAGACTCTCGAGCACCAAACTGTCTTCCGCTTTTTCATCTCCCCCATCTTAATTAGTTAGTGCCTTTAGATTAACAAGAAAAAAAAAGAAGTTAAAGAAAAAGTTTAAAAAAAGCGAAACTGGATGAGGGAACAGAAAAAAGCTAATTTTAAAAAACAAAAAAAAAAAAATCAAACTTGGAAAAAAAACAAAGAAGAGTGTTTTTTTGTTAGTTTTTTTTTTTGAAATAACAACATCATTTTTTGCTAATTCTATTCTCAACCAAATGTCCGGAATTGAATAATAGCGTCAAAGAAAAAAAAAAAATAAATTTATAGTTTTAAAATTAACAAAAAAAAAAAGAAAAAGACAAGAATAAGGAAGAGATGAATTGAGTGCCGGGAGTGGTGCTGGTAAATATGGTAGTGTTGGTGCTAAAAAACAGTGTGTTGTTGGCAACGTCAAAAAAAAGGAAAAAATTTGAAGTAGTAGGCCATGAAAAAGCGAAAAATTAACACCACTTTTATCCCACCAAATACACTCCATTATTTCGACAAAAGAAAAAAAAAAAAAAATATAAAGTAAGAAAAATGAATTTCTTTTTTTTTTGAAATAAAATAAAGCCATACAATACCGTAAACCTCGAGCGTCTATTGATGTGCAATCATAAAACTGCTATATTTTTCATACCATCATCAACTTCAAAAAACCACTTTTCCTCCCCCCCGTTCTTCACTCCTCTCTACCTCTTGCACCTATCAACTTTCGTCATGTTATGTTGATAAATGGTAAACGAAGCAACCAGATGAACGGCGAGTAAATGATGAGCCAATTGGTTGGCAATGAAAACGATTCAGAAATAGAAAAAAAAAAAAAAAAAAACTTTGAGTAGCAAATAAAAAGACAAGATAAAGTAAGGAAATAGAAGAAGAAAATGAACAGTTAAGAGGAAACATTAAAAAAACGGGGAAACGGAGTGCTGGAAAGGAGACGGATGGTGAAGCGGTAGAAAAAAAAAAAAAAACAGACTAGTTAACTGGTTGAATGTGAATTTTCCGGAGTTCATAAACCTCGTTGAGGCTCAACAGCGCTCAGTCAAATAAATGTCGGTCGATTGACAACAATTAAAAGCGTCAGATGCATTCGGTAAAAACACAAATTTTTGCGATCTTAGAATTTTCA